TTTTTAATGTGACTACCAGAAAATCTTAAATCACATATGTAGTTTGCATTGTATTTCTATTAGACAGCATTGTTCTGCAGGGTGTTGTGGTGATATAGTCGGAATATATGAACCTAAGTTGAATCTTGAAGGGTGAATAAGAATGGGCTAAGCATAGAAAGGCAGGAAGGGCATAGCTATCCATGTGGACAAGTTAAAGTTGGATCCCTTATCTCACACCATACACAAAAAATAGCTCTAGCTACATTAGGGATTAAATGTGAACAGCAATTTGTGTTTTTGCAGAGCCTTTCTTTCTTTTTTAAAAAATATTATTTGTTTGTCAGAGAGCGAGCACAAGCAGGCGGAGTGGCAGGGAGAGGGAGAAGCAGACTCCCCGCTGAGCAGGGAACCCAATGTGGGGCTCAATCCCAGGACCCCGGGATTGTGACCCGAGCTGAAGGCAGACGCTTAACTGACTGAGCCACCCAGGTGCCCTGCAGAACATTTCTTAATGACTTTTTATTCAAATTATTTAAGAATAGGCATTTTGTTCACATGGTTCAAAACTCAAAAGCAACAAGAGGTAAACAGTGAAAAGTCTTCCCCTCACTGTGATCTCCAGTTACCTGACTGTGCTCCCCGGAGACCTCTGATGTTAATCTCTTTCCTATGTATCCTTTCAGAAATATTTTTAATGCTTTAAAAAAGCAAATACTAACACACATATACAACAGGAAAAACTGTAAATGTTTTAGAAAAAATATAGATGGATCCCTTTGTGATCTCTCGGTAGAAAGGATTTTTTTTTTTTTTAGGGGCGCCTGGGTGGCTCAGTCAGTTGAGCTTCCAACTCTTGATCTCAGCTCAGATCTTGATCTCAGGGTCATACGTTCAAGCCCCACGTCAGCCCCACTTCAACCCCCAGGTCAAGCCCCACACTGGGCTCCGCAATGGGGGTGGAGCCTACTTAAAAAAAAGATTTTTGGGGGCACCTGCGTGGCTCAGTCAGTTAAGTGGCTGCCTTCGGCTCAGGTCACATCCGGCTCCCTGCTCGGCGGGAAGCCTGCTTCTCCCTCTCCCACTCCCCCTTGTGTTCCCTCTCTCGCTGTGTCTCTCTCTGTCAAATTAATAGAATATTAAAAAAAAAAAAGATTTTTTTTTAGACAAGACACCAAAAGAAGCAGAGATTATAAAAGATTGATAAATTTTTTAAAAGAATTTATTTATTTGAGAGGGAGAAAGAGAGCAAGAGGGAGCACAAGAGCAGGGAGAGGGGGAAGCAGACTCCCCACTGAGCAGAGAGCCCGATCTGATCCGGGGCTAGATCCCGGAACTCTAAGATCATGACCTAAGCCAAAGGCAGACGCTCAACCGACTGAGCCACTCAAAAGATTGATAAATTTGACACTAAAGTTGAAAACTTATTTACAGGAAGAGATACCATAAAACAAAGTGAAAACAAAAGCCTCACACTGGGAGAAATTTTTGTTACACAGGTAACTGACAAAAAAGATTATGAAAAAAAATTATGCATGGTAATATAGAAAGAACTATAAATTAATACAAAAAATAAAAACTCAGCAGAAACACAGACCCAGGTAATTCACAGGAGAAGAATCCTAAGTGGCCAATAAACTTCTGAAAAAGATGTTTCATCCTCACCAGTAATCAGGGGAATGCAAATCAAAACCATAATTTGACAAGCGTATTTCACGCTCATCAGATGGCCAAATTTTAAACATCTGACAAGACCAAGTGTTGGTGAGGATGTGGCAACCAGGATCTCTTCTGCCCTGCTGGTGAGGATGTGGGAATGTAAACTGACGCAACCACTTTGAAGAAGAATCCGGCCCCAAATGGCAAAGCTGTGCATAACCATATATGGCAGCCCTTACAATTAAAGATGGGTAAACCCAAACCCACAACTCAGCAGTTCCACTCCTAAGCATGTGCGCTGGAAAAACTCCACATACGTGCACAAAGTATGCATGTACAAGAATGTTATTGCGGGCGCCTGGGTGGCTCAGTTGGTTGAGCGACTGCCTTCGGCTCAGGTCATGATCCTGGAGTCCCGGGATCGAGTCCCGCATCGGGCTCCCTGCTCAGCGGGGAGTCTGCTTCTCCCTCTGACCCTCCGCCCTCTCATGTACTTTCTCGCTCTCTCAAATAAATAAATAAATCTTTAAAAAAAAAAAAAAAGAATGTTATCGCAGCACTGTTTGTAGTGGCAAAAAAAAAGTGGAAGCTCCTTGCGTGCCCATCAATAGCTGAGTGGATAGAGATGGAGAAGTCTTATATAGCCCTGAGAAATCGTGAAGGGAAGCCACTTTTTTAAGATTTTATTTATTTATTTGACAGAGACACAGCGAGAGAGGGAACACAAGCAGGGGGAGTGGGAGAGGGAGAAGCAGGCTTCCTGCTGAGCAGGGAGCCCGATGCGGGGCTCGATCCCAGGACCCCGGGATCATGACCTGAGCCAAAGGCAGACGCTTAACGACTGGGCCACCCAGGCGCCCCAAGGGAAGCCACTTTTATCGACACAGATCTGTCCGCTGAGCAATGGCCTTATGCAATTCATTATATCTTTTCATGTGCTCCAATTATTTCATGGTAACTTACAAAGAAAGCTTCATCTCTCCTCCTCCGATTGCCGTGAAAGGTGTCCCACTCCTGCCAAAGGAGGGGGCCTCCACTGTGTTCTCTGTGGGCTCTGCTCCTGCAGGTGGCCCCTCTCCTGCCTAAGCCACGGATCCGTCTCTGAGGGCCATCCCACAGCCTTCAAACATCCTCTGTCACTCCCCTCTTTGGTGACACTTCCTCTGTGCCACATCCCCTAAGGCTGCTGTCCATCTCTCCGCTCTCCCTCACGGCCACGAGGGAAAGAGCTATTTATTCTTGCGTCTGTACTGTCTTAGTGCATTCCCTCCTCAACCCCAATCTCGCTTCTGTGCCCATCTCTCCACTGAAACAGCTGTCGCCAGGTTCATGCATGACCTTCACGTTGACCACCAATAGGACATCTCTTCCCTGGACAGCAGGCAGGAGAGCAGACTGTTCCTCCTTCTTGAAACTCTGCCTCTGCACACGCTTCCATTCCGGCCCCCCACCTCCCATGCTGCATCTTTTCTGTCTCCTTTGCTCACTTGATCCGGGATCCCTTTTCCTTTCCATCTATATCTCCTCTCCTCTTAGATCACCTCCACCAGGGGCGCCTGGGTGGCTCAGTCGTTAAGCGTCTGCTCTGGGCTCAGGTCATGATCCCAGGATCCTGGGGTCCAGCCCCTCATCGGGCTCCCTGCTTGGCGGGAAGCCTGCTTCTCCCTCCCCCACTCCCCCTGCTTGCGTTCCCTCTCTCGCTGTGTCTCTCTCTGTCAAATAAATAAATAAAATCTTTTTTTTTAAAGATTTTATTTATTTATTTGAGAAAGAGAATGAGAGAGAGAGCGAGCTTGAGAAGGGGAGGGTCAGAGGGAGAAGCAGACTCCCTGCCGAGCAGGGAGCCCGATGCGGGACTCGATCCCGGGACTCCAGGATCATGACCTGAGCCGAAGGCAGTCGCTTAACCAACTGAGCCACCCAGGCGCCCAATAAAAAAATCTTAAAAAAAAAAAAAAACAACCCAGGAATCTGAACCATAAAACCCGCGATCCTTGAGCCTTTCCTTTCCCTCATGTCCATACAATCTATGCACGAATTCTATAGCATTACCGGCAAAATATTTCTGCAGGGTGACCCCTTTCCTCCATTTCCACAGCTGACACCCTGGGCCAGGCCACCTGTCTCTTGCCTGCTAACCCACGCTTGTCCCTCTACATTCCGTTCTCCACACAGCAGCCAGGTGAGCCTTCTAGGGCTTACCTTAGACCATGGCACCCCTCAATTAAAAGCTTTCCACAGTGAATGAATTACTGCCATCCATAACCCAGATGAATGTCACAAACATGAGGTTGAATGAAAGAAGCCAGACCCAAGAGAGCAGACTGTATGATTCCTTTACATGGAGTTCAGAACCAGGAAACAGTAATCTGTTATTAGAAGTTGGGGGAGTGACAGCGCCTGGGTGGCTCAGTCGTTAAGCGTCTGCCTTTGGCTCAGGTCATGATCCCAGAGTCCTGGGATCGAGCCCCGAGTTGGGCTCCCTGCTCTGCGGGGAATCTGCTTCTCCCTCTCCCTCTCCCCTCTGGCTCGTGTGCTCTCTCTCTCAAATAAATAAAATCTTAAAAAAAAAAAAAGGTGAGTACTGTTTCCTGATGTGGGTGCTGGTTGCACAGGGGTATTTGATTCATGAGAAAAGGCATTAAGCTCATATACAGTTCTGACTTGTGTACATTGCAGACTATATTTCAACAGAAAATGTTACCTTGTTTCTTGTCTAGACCACTCTACCGCTGGACTTAGGCTCTGGGGGGAGGGGGACGGATCTTGCCGGCTTGCTCACTGCATCCCCAGAGCCTGATGCACTGCTGACACTCACGGGCTCTGATAAGGACTTGCAGGGGAATGCAGGGAAAATAGCCAGACCAGGAGCAGGGAGAACCTAGGAGGCAAGGGCAGTGACCCTTGGGCATGACGACCAGATCCATGGCTTAGAGCCAGAGTGGAGAGGAGGAGAGAGCTGAGGAAGATTTTGCAGGTAAAATTAAGTTGGTGGCTTGCTGATTTAACTTTCCAATTACTTCTTACTCCTAAGATAAAAGCAACAGTCTTTACAGGGGCCCTAAAGCCCCAGATGCTCCCCTCTGACTCCTTCCGAAGCCCCCCAGCCCAGCCCCGCGGATCTCCGGCTCAGCCTGAACCTTCCGCGCATGCTCCCTCCAGGAACTCCGCCCCTGCTGCTCCGCTGCCGGGGAAGCTCTGCGGCGAGCTGGTGCGCGGCGGCCGCCCTCACCCGCTTCAGGCCTCTGCTCCCACACCACCTTCTGAGGGAGGCCTTCCCTGCTCTACTTCTCACCACAGCGCGTCCCACCCTCTGCCTCACCGCCGATTTCACTCCTTCTATGTATTACCGTCTCCCCACGCCGCTGCTCTGTAAGAAGCAGGAGTCCAGCCCAGGCCCTTGCTCTTGACCACTGCCCTCCACGCGGACACCCGGCCTCGCAGACACGGGCCCACCCGCGTGGACCCCCGTGCGGCCCCCAGCCCGGGGCCAAGCTGCGCCCAACCACCTCCCCCAAACCCTGCCGCTGCTCCCGGCGGCCCGCCCCCCCGCCCCTGGGCTGGCGGGCGGCGGCCCCGGCAGAAGGACCGGCATGTGATTAGAAACTCCCCAAGCTCCCTAACTGCCGGTTTGCTCCCACCCCGGGAGGCCAGCGCTATTCTGAGCCACCCTTGTTGCTGGCTGCTTGCGGCCTCGAGAGAGGAGGCGGCTGAGAACGGAGCCGGGCTGGCGTGGAGGGGGCCGTGGAGCGGGTGGCGAGGTCAGAGGGGGCTGCGCCCAGACGGGCTGGCGAGCGGCCGACAACAGACGTGGCAGAGACGGGCCGCCTGCTCTCGGGGCCCAGCGCGGGGCTCCGGGCAGCCTGTGGCCTCCTCCCGCCTTGGGGGGGGGCCGCCCCCACTCCGCCCAGAATAGTGACATCAAAGCAGCCAGGGCCATTCATTCTTTATTCGGGTGCCGTAAAAATCACTACAAAAACTTTACAAAAGAGCCTGAGGGGACTATTGCCCTCCCTCCCGCAGGCCCTGGGACACCTGGCCGAGGAAGAAGAGGAGGGAGAGTCCTGGCAATGTTGGTATCTGTGGGGAGGCTGGCTGGCAGAGCATCAGGGCGGGTGGAGGCTGGAGGGCCTGGGGCAGGTGGTGGCAGAAGCCGTGAGGTGCCAGGCGAGGCCCCTACCCACAGAGCCGGACAAGGCTCCTCGCCCCAGCCAAGGAATCCAATCCCTCCTGTCCCCCACTCTCTGGTAAACAAACGTGGAAGTGCCCCAGCCGGCTTCGGGAACGACCTACCCACCTTCCTGACCAAAGTGGATCGACAGCTGCCCCTCTGCCCAAGCCCCAAACAAGGACGGCCTCCGAGCCTCTTTGCAAGAAATGATGTGGGATCAAGGCCCATGGTTCCCCGAGGCCTGCCCTCGTCCCGGCCCCACGCACCCCAAGCTCCCCCGGAGAGGGGACGGGAGAGGATGGCTCCCTCTCGCTCCCAGACTGCCCACCCCGGCCCCGGCCCTAATCCCACAGAGCCCTCTGGAAAGAGTCCCAGGAGTGGAGAGGTTGTTGCAGGCAGGGACTCGGGATGCTGGCCGCTGGCCTCTCACTTGGGGCTATGAAGTTGGGGGTAATCCTCCTCTGAGGGGGGCGCGAGTTTCAAGTCAGGGCCGAAGGGCTTGTCTCCACGGGGGAAGGCTTTCAGGTTCTGGAAGTAGTCCCTGTTATCCGGGGAATCCTGCTGCTCCTTGCGCTCCCACTGCGCACTAGGGTTAGGGTTCCTCACGCTGCCCACGAAGAGGGGCAGGCTTGTTGTGTCCTCGAGGATGAAGAAGAGAAAGGGGCGGTTCACGCTGAAGGAGGAGAGGGACATGCGGGACATGGCCGTGCTGGTAGCAGCAGCCGCCTCCACGCCGGCCTCGCTGAGCTCCAGCGTGGACTGATGCTGCACGCTGGAGACCACCAGGCTCTGGTCAGAGATCCCACGCAGGTCTGGGGCCTGGAACAGTTCCTGCAGGCCTGCCCAGGGCAGGAGATGGCGGGTCAGAGCGGCCTTCTGCCCCACAGGCTGCCCGGACCTGCCTGGGAGGGTGTCTGGTATTCGGGCCAAGGAACACCTCCAACCCATAGATCGCGGCTTAACTCTTATTTAACCTGCAAGTATCACTTCAAGGTCACTTCCTCCAGGAAGCCTTTCCCGATCCCCTGCCCCAGAGTCCGGGCAGATGCCTTTTCTTCGGTGAACTGGAGAGAAGCCCTGTCTTATCACTTACGCTGAATTGTAAATACCTGATTCCTTATCTGCCCAACTCCATTTGACTGAGTCTTCGTAGGCGGTGGGCGCCCAGTGTCTAGCTCAGTGCCCCTGGCGGGACGGCCAGCAAGGCCCACCTGCCACCCAGGCTCCCTGCCTCTGAGAGTGTTTGCAATGCTCAGTCTTGGATGGAGCAGGTCCTCATTCCCTGGGCCACCCCAGCCAACCCAGGACAGAGGGCCCAGGGGGGCTCCTAGGAAGCCCTCTTACCTCCCAAGGCCCCCGAAAAGGCCAGGACACAAGGCTGTTGCTCTGACTCGGACCCACTGCCGGGGGGGTGTCCCCCCTGGCACGCACTCTGCCTAGCCTGACCTAGGGGGCTGTCCCGTGGCCGGCCTCCTTACCCAGCCGGCTGAGGGTGGCCACCAGGTCCAACTGGTAGTTGAGATGCAGCCTGGGCAGCCGGACCTTGGTGGGTTTCTCTCGAAGCGAGGGCTGGTGCAGGATGTCCCAGCTCACGTTGGCCAGCACCCGGGACACATTCCACTCAAAGTGGGTGGGCATCATGACCACAAAGCTCATGTTGTTATTGAAGGGGAAATGAGCCACCTACAGAGGAGGAGAAGAGACAACATGAGGACCAGAAAGTGCCCAGACCAGTGGGGCTCTGGGCGAGCATACGCTTCTGAGACGGAGGGACCGGGGGTGCCGGTCCATTCTCCTCAGGTGTGTGTTCGGCCTCCCTGAGCTTCCACTTCCTCACCCGTGAAGTACAGTAACACTACCTCCCACATGGTCAGGGGATCGGGAAAGGCTTCCTGGAAGAAGTGACCTTGAAGCTCATACTTGCAGGTTAAATAAGAGTTAAGCCAGGATCTGTGGGTTGGAGGTGTTCCTTGGCCAGAATGCCAGACACCCTCCCAGGTAGCATCCTCAAAGAATGCTCCCTGACCACTCTATCTAAAATACCTTCCCCAGTCACTAATTGATCACTTTCTTTTTTACCTTCATAGCACTTACACTATCTGAAATGATCTTGTGATTTAGGTTTGTTCGTGTATTGTGTGTCTTTCGTGCCAAGAGCAGGGACCCGGTCTCCCTTGTGCCGGTGTGTTCTAGAGCCTGGGACAGTATCTGGCACACGGCAAACGCCCAATATAGTTTTGTCAAATTCATGAATTTCCAAGAGCCTGGAACCTCAGTCCCCCTGGGTCGGGGCATAGCGAGGCCTTCCAGAGCCACCTGTCTCAGAGACGGGACTGCAAGGAAGGCGGGGCACACCCCCCTGTGCCTGTCCCACAGCCTGCCCACTCCCTGCGCCACCTCCCAGTGGCCAGACCCAGCCTGGGCAATCAAGGGTGACCTGTATCTCAGGCTGCTCCAGCAGGAACCAGCGCAGGGGGTACGTGCGGGCCTGCATCATGTCCACTGGTACCGTGAACTGCTCATTCAGGTGGAAACTGTCTCGCTGGGTGAGGCTTGGATCAAACTTGCTCCTCCAGAAACCTATAACCAGCAGAAGGCAGGGGCCACGTAGACCCAGATAGGGGGAGGTTCTATACCAGCAGTCTCTTCTCCATCCCACCCAGAACCCATTCCAGGGACGGAAGGTAGAGGTCGAAACCCCAAGGGGCACTGTGCCAGGTGATACTCAGTTGATCTGAGGTTTCTTCCCTGCAGCATTTTTGAAATCTGGGCTTGCGTTCTTCCTGAGCCCTGCCATGCTCCCAGGACTCGGTTTCCTGCTAGGGTTCTCTCTTCACAACAGCCTCATCCAGTTCCTGGGGGCCCTCCTTGGCACACCGTTACCTGTTTCCTACCCTCCCCCAAGCCACAACCCAAAGAGCTCCCTGCCTCCTGGCCCAGCTCTGAGGGGAGAGAGACACCCTCAGGACAAAGGTTTCACAGCTCAGCTCAGCCTACAGGGCAGGAGTAGGGGCTGCTGGGGTGGGGGACCTGAGGAGAGGAGGAACACACCCTGGAAGTGGATGGCATTGAGCAGAAGCAACACTGTGTCATCTGGCAGCTCGGAGAGGAAATCCTCAATCTTCCCTTCTGTAGCCTCCTTCACCCACTGGTTGATGTTCAGCAGATCATCCCCTTTCCTTCCCGTCAGGCTCATGGGCTTTGCACCAAAGAGCTGTTCTGATTGTTCCAGGAAGTCCTCTTTGATGGGAAATCCTACACAGACGGGGCCACAGGCTGTTCCTAGGGGCTTAAGCTCCAGAGCCACCAAAGCTCTGACTGGCTACCTGAGGCCAAGCCCATCTCCATCACCCCTGTCCACCCCAGGGCACTGCCTTGGGAGCTCCAAGCCACCAGCACCTACCTTTCTGCAGGTACATTCTGGCAGCCAATCGGAATGCCCCAGGGCCCAGGTCCTGGCAGAGGCGGCTCAGCAGGTGGGGCAGGCAGAGCCCTGAGTCTGCATGCAGCACCTGCTCTAACCTCCGCAGCGTCTGGTTCTGAGCACCTGGAGGGGACCGCATGGGCTGTGGCCCAGGCCGGCAGCTCTTTCCCGGCCCTGCCGCCCGCTCCAGTCCCTCCTGAACGCCCGTGGTGCGTGCGCCCCCGACACCACACATTCTCCTCCCGTATCGACTGAACTGGTCTGACTGGCAGTACTCCCCAAGTTCCACTTTCATCTCTGCTGCTGGCCGTCTGGGTGACCTCACCCCATCCAAGTTGTTCTCCCTCTCTGGACCTCGGTTTCCCGCAATGAGAGCCTCCATCCAGTGAAGACATTGCAGCAATCAAACTCTTGCATCAAAATCACCAGAAGCATATCCTTAGGCCCCATCCCTGGGAATCTGATTCACGGAGACTAGAGGTGTGCCTAAGAATCTGCCTTTTTACCAAACAGCCAAGCGACCCCGAGGGAGGAAGCACCCACTAGTCAACTCTGGAGTAGTGAGTTCCTGCTGGCCTCCCAGCTCTGCTGGTCTGGACAGGTGATGCCACGCTACCTAGTGCCAGGTGAGACAGTGCCAGGGCCACGCTCAGAGGCGACAGGATGAGGTTGGGGCTGGTGGACCTTTGGGCCACCAGGGAGAACAGGTCTGTGGTGAAGGCCATCATAGCCTGGGCCAACCTGCGGGTCTGCTCCGGGGTTGGGGCCCCCTTGCAGTCTCTTGGGGACTTCTTCAGGACAGTATGGCCACGGGCCTCCTACAGGGACAGATCAGGGGTCAAGAGGGTCAAGGAGTCAGCTCTGTGCTGAAGATCCCTTTCAGAGTCCCCTGTGCCTGGGAACAGCAGGGCCTTGTCCCAGTCCTGACGAGAGAGGGACAGTCACACGGACAATGGCATTAGAGTCCTTTCCTCTGGTCCCTCCCACCCTCTGTCTTCTGGCCTCCACCTCGGGGCCCTGCCCCCCAGTTCCCTGGCTCCTGCTGACTGGCCCTCCTCCCTCGGATCCCGCCCACTCTTCCCCCAGCCCCACCTGGTTGTACCTGGTTGCCCAACTTGAGGAGGGTAAGCGGGGGCAGCTTCTCCTGGGTCTGCCCGCTCCTGAGCTGAAGAAGGGAGGAAGCAGATGGAGCGTGACCCTTCCCACAGGTTCCCCCACCCTGCGCGAGCCACAGGTGAGGCCCCTGGGGGCCCTCCTCCCCCCTCCTGCCTCTCCCTCCCCAGTACCTGCTGGTCCAAGGGCTCCATGGCGCTGGCAGGAGACAACTGTTGAGAAAAGGATGAGAGGAGAGGAACCCCCTCAGAGCCAGACCCTCCCCTGACTCAGCCCCCCTCCTCTTCCCACCCAGACCCCTGGCGCGGCCCCACCTGCCTCCCGGCCCCACCCAGACCGAGGCCCAGACTCACCAGCAAGCCGGGACCCTGCAGGCAGGACAAGCTGAGCACCAGGAGCCCCTGGAGCAGCACCATGTTCCTGTGCAGGACAGGAAGCCTCTGTTCCCACCGGGCCGCACTCCTGCGTGGGAGCCCACCCCCACGCTGCCTGGCGTGGCAGATCCTGAGCCTCTCCCGCTGAGGGGACACCCAGCTACCGCCAGCACACCCCAAACACACGAGCCGTGGTTCCCATCTCTGTGGGGTGGGAGGTCCCCCTGGATTTTTTTTTTTTTTTTTAAGATTTTATTTATTTATTTGAGACAGAGAGAATGAGAGACAGAGAGCACGAGAGGGAGGAGGGTCAGAGGGAGAAGCAGACTCCCCGCCGAGCAGGGAGCCCGATGTGGGACTCGATCCCGGGACTCCAGGATCATGACCCGAGCCGAAGGCAGTTGCTTAACCAACTGAGCCACCCAGGCGCCCCTCCCCTGAATTGTTTTTAACCCCTCTGTATTTTCCAGTTTTTCACATTTCGTGCACTGAAAATGTTTTGGTTCATAGGGGAAATACCAAAACCGAAGAAGTCCTCATTCTTCAAGGCCTGGCCTTGTGAGTCAGCCGTGGATTTGAATCCAGACTCGGCCTCTTCCGAGAGGACCTTAGATATCTCCTTTAACCCCTCTGGGCTTTGCCTTTTCTTGCAAAATGGTAGCAAAAGTCCCTGCCTCCTCCCACAGTATATTGTGAGGACCGAAATAAGGCGGTCTTTGTGAGCCCCGATTACAATGCCTGGCACTCGGTAATACGGCTGTTGTCAGCCCAGCCCAAGGCTCCTCTTCTGGGAAGCCTGCCCTGAAGCCTCCTGTATACTGGGGCTCCTTTCCCAGAGCTCCTGTCCAACCCACTGTCCACGGACCCACCTTTTCTGGCTGGTCTGGTCTTGACCACAAGGGTGGACAGGCCTGTGAGTCCCTGAAGTCTCAGCAGGGTTGGTGGGGTGGGCTGGAGAGCCGCGTTGTTGACCCAGCCACGGAGCCCAATGAATGGCTCTGGATGGAGCCACCTTTGGACTTACGGGAAACACAGGCCTTGCCCCCCACTCTGTCCAGGTCGGCTCCAGGAAGCCAGACTGGCAGGTGGGGATGGGCAGGTCTTGGTCTGGCCTCAGAGCAGGTCCCACACACTCCAACCCCACCCCCATCTCAGGGCCAGTCCTTCCAGGGGAGCCTTCTATCACCGCTGGCCCCACCCCCATCACACGCAAGGACCCTTGGCCAGGGCCCCTGATCTCCAACCTGGGCTTTTGAATCTTCCTGACAAGAAAAGACCTCTAGTTTTCCAAGTCCCAGAGAGAGTCCTGCCAGAACCCCCATCTTGGCTCCTCATCACCCCAGGAGGCTGGGAAATGAGAGGCCTTCTGAATAAATTCACTCCAGACCCCCTAAGCCAGATGGACAGCTCTTACCTCCTCTCCTGCCCAAAGAGCAGGTCAAGCCACCCCTCCCCTCGTACCTCTGCAGGCTCCTCGCTGCTGCACAGTGTCCCTCTGGCCCCACTTGGGTACTCCCCACACTTTGCTCAGGCTCCAGCCAGCCCAGCTGAGCCCTCCCCTCCCACTAGGACCTTTGCTCTCAGCCAACCCCTGTTCAGATTGCTTTCTCTTCTGGTAAATATTGACCTGCACATCCGGTTAAACATTGATATTGGGGCCGGAAGCCCCATTCCCACCAGGGTATCTAATCCTGAGACAGCCACCTGGAGCCCCTGTGGATTTGGGTCCCCCCTCCAAGCCTGGAGAAAGGAGGTTCAGGAAAGTTGAGGAGAATGTCCTCATCTGTAGGGCAGATCCAGGAAGGACAAGGGCCTACCAGAAACCCCATGAGGTGGGGGGGTTATCCCCACTTTAGTGGGATCAGAGAGGCTATGTGACATGCCCAAGGACAGAACTGGGTTCAGGGTCACATCCAGCTTCCCACTTACAATGTCCTTTCCTCTCTCCCATCCTGAGGGGAAGGAAGGGGCAGCTGCAGGAGCCTATGTGGGGAACCCAAGATAAGATGCCCATCCCCAAGCCTTACAAGCCCAGGATCCTGATTGGCTGCCTTTAGCCTGGATCTGGAAGGGGTGGGGAGAGGAGAGAGGGCCACAGCGCCAGCCAGCATCCTCCCGGCGGGAGCAATGCCTCCTTACCTTCCCCCAAGGCTGAGGGTTCAGGAAACTGGCCTGGGGCTGCGTGCACCAGAAGCCCTGTGCCCGTGGCACCCAAGAGCAATGATCAGGCTGTCTCCCACCCTCCTGCCCTGCTTCTCACCCTCTCCTCACTGCCCTGGAAGCTGCTGCGTCTCAACTCTTCCCCACCCTGACGCCATCGTTAAGAAAAGCGTCACTCGGTTCCATGGCTCTTCCGAAGGATTTATTGGTCATATTTACATCTATTGCAAATAACGAGGAGGCAGTAGGGGCGCAGGCTCAGACCTCATCTTTGTTCCAGAATGTGAGGGTCCCGGGATGCCTGGGTCTTCCCGTCCCCTGGGAGAGACCTGAGATGCAGAGATCATTCTCACCCCTTCTCTCAGGGTGTTGGACCACAAGGGTACTGGGCCCAGGGGCTGCCTCCTCAGTTCAAGGCACAAACACTGTGGTGAGGGGTGGGCAGGCAAGGCATGGGATCACTCCTGGCAGGAACCAGCTGGCCCAGTCCATTTTCCCTCCCCTGGTCCTGCCCTCTTTCTTCCCCTACTGGTCCCACACTGGGCAAGGCATGGCTGGGTGGACACTTAAACCCCAGCCCAAGGCCCTTAACTCCTGGACCACGGCCAGCCCTCATTAGGGGCTGGAGTCCAAGCACCATCGGTGTCCTGGACTGGAGCAGCCGCCCTGGCCTTGTGAGAGCTCGGCAAGGAGCGGGGCATCCTTGGCTGGAGCCTGGCTGCACAGGGCCAGCCTCCCTTCCTCTTCTCACAGCTTCCCTGTCCCCATGTGGACCCAGAGGGCAGAGCTAGGGAGAAGGGAGGGCGATGCTTTCCCACGCCCTCGCTCTCGCTTCCTGCTGACTAGGGGCAGCATCTCCCCCAAGCCGTGAAGGAGATCCCTCCCGGCAGCACCGGTGGCTCTGGCAGTTCGGGAGCCTGGACCCCTGCGTCACCGTGGCTGGCAGGCCACGTGGGCACTCGGGGTGCGCGGCCTGAGGCTTGCCCAAGAGGGAGCTGCTGGGAAAACAAGGGTGAGGGATGGACTCCGGGGGAATGTCTGCCCACCCTCGTTGGCCAGCCCCGCCTCAGCCTACGCCAGGAGGCGGATGACCCCGTTGTCCGAGCCCAGCAGGAGGTGGCGTTTGGTGGGCAGCAGGGCCAGGCTGGTGAGCGTGCCTCGGAAGTTCTCGGAGCTGAGCTTGGTGGTGGCCTGGGAGGGCGGCTCGAGCAGGGAGCAGACGCCGATCTTGTTGGCCACCGTGCCGGTGACCACCTCACTGCCATACAGGTCGAAGGTGTGGATGGGGTCAGATGCTGACTTGTAGTGGTGCGTGGGCTTCTGTTCCAGCTCCTTCCACACGGTCAAGGAGTGGTCAGAGGAGGAGCTGACCAGGACACTGCCCTCCACCGCCTGCTCGGAGAAAAGAGAGCCTCAGCAGGGCCTGGGCCCTACCATGTGTCCAAGCTCCAGGGTCTTCCGATTACTCGCACAGGATCTCCCAGGAAGATAGGGGATCCTGGGCAGGTGACCAGCTGCCCCCCCTCCCACCACATCATATGAGTTAATGGGACTGTGACAAAATGTCTTTAACCTAGTCATCCCTGCAATTTGAGCACTTACTACACCTAGGCGTTGTGTGAGGCATGCCATATGACTACATTTAATTTCCATGACAACTCGACGTAAATGCTGTTTGTTGTTGTGCCCATTTTACAGAGAAAGAAACCAAGGCTCATAAAAGTTAAGTAATCCTACCAAGGCCACACAGCCAGTAAGTGGCACTGCCAGGATTAACACCCAGGCTGCCCCGAAGCCCTCCTGACGCACCCTTGGAAGGTCCGAAGTGAAAGCCGCCGGGGCCCCTGGGTCCCCTGGGGTCCTGGACAGAGTTGGGGGCAGTCTGCCCTTAGCAGCGACAGTGCAGGCCCCCTGGGTGCGATCAGGACAGGGAGTGCGCTGCCTAGAAACATCCTCCCACAAAGAGCCCCGTTCCTCCCCTGCTGTCCCTCCCTGGGCAGTTCCCTGAGGTCTGTGACTGAGAGTGGGCGGGGGTAGGGGCAGGATCCCTAGGCCGGGATGTCCCTGCCCCCACCAGGGCAGCCCAGCATGCGGCATGGACTCTGCTCCGTGGTCTGGGGGCAGTAAACAGCCTCCCGGCTGAGCTTTATTTAACCTGAACTGGGTCACGGACAGGGCCTGACCCCTGATCCTCCAAGCAAGGCAAATATGGACAAGGGTTACTCATTAGAGCATCCCCAGGGAGTAGCAGGGTCAGCTCTCCCCCTGCTTCCCGCCCCCACGGGCCACCCGCCACCGGGGCCCCTGCAGCGCAGCTGGCTTCTAACCCTCTCTGCCTGTCAGCCCTGGGGCAGGTCCAAAGGAGATCATCTCAGCTGGAGCCTGTCCCAGGTGGGCCTTAAGAGGACCCGGTCAGTCACCTTGATCTGCAGGATGTCCCCCTCGTGGGCTGGCCAGCCACGCAGAACCAGGCCAGTACGGGTGTCCAGGAGCACCATGAAGCCCGAGGAAAAGCCAGCCACCACGCTACGGCCACTGGGGCTGACGGCCAGGGAGCGGACGAGCCCAGGGTTCAGCCCGCCGCCGAGGCGGAACTCGTGCTGCAGAGAGGGACGTGAGCTAAAGTGCTGCCACCCACCCCAACCCATTTCTCTGAGCTCCCGTTCACCCCCAAGCGCACACAGCTGAAGGGCCTGATCCTCTATCCCCTCCCCCTCCATCAAGCAGACGGCTCCCCTTCGTCTCAGATCAGAGTCCCACCCCCCAGGGTTTGCTGCTGTGGGTGACTGGTCTAAACTCCACCCTGGCCTTCTCTCTTCGGGGTCTCTCCTCCCTGCCGGGCATCCAGGCCAGGGCTCAGGGAACCGGACGCCCCTGACCTGCAGGCCAGGCTTCCTGCAGTCCACAAAGCGCAGGGTCGAGTCAGAGCTGGCCATGGTGATGCTGGTATGCGGGGCGGGCATGACGGCCACAGCAGTCAGGGGCACCCGGCTGTCCCACGGCTCCATCACGCGAAGGGTCTTCCCTGGGAAGGAAAGGCGCAGTGCATCTGGGGTCCCAGTAGCTGATGGAAGCACCCCAACTCTTCCTATCTCCCTGACCTACCCTGGATCTGCCTCCCATATCCCAGAGGACCTAAGAAAATGCTAAAGATGTTTTTCGACTCTCCCACCTTCCTGCTTCCGTGGCCAGGCCAGGCTCCGGTCCCCAAAGCAACCTCTTCTCTTCCCACGACGCCCCCTGACCAAATGCTAACTCTTCTCAGTCCACCTCAATGCTACTCTAGCCCCTCCTCCTTTAAAAACCTTATTAACCTTATTTCTGCCCCCCGCCCGATGCCAAAAAATAATCAAGCAACCATTTGCCGAACTTGTATGACATGCCACATGTTAAGCCAAACTCCTACGTGCATCTTCTGACCCCGGTCTGATTCCCATTTTACAGATGGGAAAACGAACGCCTCCAGCTGGCAGAACCAATTCAAGCTCAGGGCTCACGGATTCCAACTCAGGTCTAACTGCTCCTCCGTGAGGCCTCACTGGGTCGCCCCACACCACATGCCATTACACCCCAACTGCCCAACCCTGGGTCCCCATACCCAGAGGCCGGGCAGGGCACAGGACGGCAGCAAGAGAACAGGCCTCACCTGGGCCCGCTCACCTGTGAAGGGGTCCCAGACGTGCACAGCCCCGTCGCAGCTCACCACGTACTGTGGGGCCTCGAGCTGGCCCACGAAGAAGACGCTCTTGCGGTGCTGAGCATAGACGAGGCGCGGGGCCGTCTCAGCAGTGCCGTCCCCAGAGTTGTAGAGAGGCCAGAGGCGCACCGTGCGGTCCTTGCTGCCGCTCAGGAAGAAGTCCTCACTGCTCAGGGGCGCCACGCCCTTGACGGCCCCCGAGTGGCCCGGGAAGCTCTGCAGGCGGATCTGATGGAAGTGGAAGTGGGCATCCTGCTGGCTCACGCCAATCTCGTACTGCCAGTACGCCAGCCAGTTCCCGCTCAGCCCGTGGGCGCTCCGTGGCAGCTCCCGCTTCAGCGCGTGGTCCTCCTCGCTGCGGAGGCCCCCGCTGCCTGCCCCCGGGATGGGGCCCAGCAAGCCGGGGCTCTCGGGCTGAGAGTCGTCAGGAATCTGGATGCGGTTCCCCACCAGGACGCTCCCAAAGGTCCCCGAGTGGCCGTCATCCCGCGGGCAGCCCCCACTCTGGGGGTCCCACTCGGGGCCGGTGCTGGGCACGGGGGGCTCCACGCTGGCGGGGCTGCGGCTGCTTGGACTGATGCTCTCCAAATACAGCCCCGCCAGCTCCCCGACCAGCTCGTGGTTGGGGATGATTTTCCTGATGATGTCACCTGGATGGGAGTGGGAGTGGTCCTACGGTTAGGGAAGATGGCAGGCAGCTGCCACCACCCAGCCAAGGCTTGGGAACCACAGAAGACAGGGCAGGTACTGGCTGTGCAACTCTGGGCAAGGAACTCTTCGTCTCTGAGCCTGTTTCTTCCCTAGAAAAACGTGGATTCATTCACACGAGCGTCCTCTACATGTCCTGGGCGCCATGCGGCGCGTCGGAAACAGAATGGTGAGAAAGAGAGCCGCTGTGCTCTCCCTCCCAGGACCCAGGTTTCGGTGGAGGAACGAGAGCATATCTGACCACACAGGGCTGCTCATCCTATTCAGGGAGCCAACACATAGAACCGCTCAGCGGTGCCGGGCCCGCACGGGAGGATACACAGACAGCGGGCCGCATATTCCTCTCAGAAGCTCCTGGAGAGGTCCGTACATCAGCACGATGGCCCTACCTTCCCCAGGGATACTCTAGATCAGCCCCGGGGCCTCCCTGCTGGCTAATGCTCAGTCCCTGTTTCTACGTCACCTTGGGACTCCGAGGTCTGAGGCCAAATCCCTTTGCCCTGATGCAGAACACCGTGCTGAACACCCACTATGGACTCTGGGGGCAAGGGGAGCACGGAGCCCTCCCGGGGGAAGAGACAGAGCCCCAAAGGCTTTGCAAGGGAATGTGGTGGGGCAGTACCCAA